TCAAAGTTAGCGCTTTGCATCTGAAGAAGTGAGGTTCTTACCCACGAAAGCTTATGCTCCCAGTACTTCTGTTAGTCTCAAAGGTGCCACAGGACCCTCTGTTAGTTTTATTTGGTTTCTCTCTTTACCCAGAGAGGAAAAAGAAGCCTATCGTGTACTAGTGCTACATTAGTGTTAATTTTTCTTATTCCTTTAAAATATCTGTACGCTTGCCTATACTTCAATTTTTGTTCCTGTAAGAAATTCTTTGCTTTTTATCAGCCACCGATGCTAAAGAGCGGCAGCATTGGGTTAGCAGACTCCAGATATGCACGCAGCATCACACGGAAGCAATTGGAAAGGTACTGCATGATTTTAATGTGTTCTTGAATAAAAACGTATGAGAGAAAATATTCATGTTCTTGATCAGTTAGGGTCTGTGGTAAAAGTAATTGAAAACTGATATATTCTATTAATCCATGAGCCAGATAAGGTTAAGGTAGAAATCTGAAAAGTTCCCAATACTTAAAGAGGAAACATGAGAGTGTGGCTGAGTACACTTGACATATATAGTCTGTAATAGAAATGGTCTTTTCCTAAAATATGTAATATGGCACTATGAAATGGTGAAGGTACTGCAGCCTGCGAAGGGTTAACAGGCCCCAGCTGGTCATGTGGCTGATAGTACAGAGTATAAAAGGAAGGGGAAGCTGAAGCTCCTGTGGGTTTTAAAGCTGAGTGTTTTTCATAGTTTGCTTTTGTTTTGTGGGTAACCCACCAGTCCTGAGGAAAGGGCCATAAAAGGACTAATGGTTGGAGCTTGATTTCTCCTTCCTTGGTTGTTTATACCAGGTATATTTTACAGGTACATTTAGGATGAAACTTGAAGTTTTGTGACTTGAGCTAACATTGTGTCCTAACCTCAAATGTACAATAAAATTGTTCTAGTAACATGCTATAAATCATCTGTTATTTTACTTCAATTTTCAGTGGTTTTAAAATATTTTACTCTTAAGGAATTTCTAGAAATGTGTTTTTTGTGGGGTGTTTTTTTTAAGTCAGTATTTATTTTTATTTTGTTTTAAGTTTTGTAAAGTAATTCCTGTATTGACCTGCTGACTAGTCGGGGAGTAGCATAGTGGACATTTGATGAAAAGGTATTGTTCGCTGTGTCATGCCATTCCTAATTTTAGCAGGTACATTTTGAAGGTATGACCCTGAGTGCATTGAGGGTGAGGGAATAAGACTCCAGGAGTTATTTTATGGCAGTGATACAATGCAGACATTCATCAAGGTGAAAATGTTTGTGGGGAGGCCATGTTCTTTTATTTAACAAGGATATCTTGCTGCACCAAGGGTGACTGTTATCTCGTAACACAAGAAGCTAGCTCCACCACATTATTACACTTAAGGGTGTTTTTGTTTTTGCCCCACAATACAGTTCTACTAAAATTTTGCTATCTGGATGGCTTTTCAATACTTGGAAAATTCAGGGATATACTGAATACAGTTTTTGGTCCTAAATTTCTTGTTTTTAGAACTGGAGTTTTGAATTGTACCTCAGATTTCCAGTTGTAATTTTCGTTTTTTGCTTGGCTTGTTTAAAAGGAAAATTTGTTTGTGTCCAAATTAATTCCCCTGAATTAGATTTCTTTTTTAAAAGGCTCCTCCATAAGTTTATGTTCCTTGAGAGGAGTTTCTAGCAAGCCTGAAGATTAAGGCTTGCTAGCTCCTTTCACAAACCATTTTCAACGCTTTGTTGCTTCAGTGTATACGTGTATTGTACGTTATAGAAGTATATTCTTATATTTTTGCTTCATTTAACCTAAAATCTGAAAAAAAAATCCAATACGCTAAGGTTCTTCTAAAATAGGATTAACTTCTTGTGACTGGCTCTGACTCCTCTATCATCAAGAGATTGCGCCCTGGTCTACGTTACAAACTTATGTTGTTATAGCTATGGTATAAAATCCACCCCCTCCCTCCCCCGAGCGATATAGTTATACCGACCTAACTCCCAGTGTAGACAGAGGGAGGGATTCCCCGATCAACATAGCTACCAACTCTCTGGAAGGGAGTACCTAAGCCGATGGGAGAAACTTTCCTGTCAGTGTAGGTAGCATCTTCAATAAGTGCTGCGGCGCTATAAGTGTAGACAAGTCCTGCATGTGTTTCACTTTGTCTTCTAAATGGTTGTAAATGAAATTCTTCTCTCTTAAATGTCAGGTTCACCCCTGTGTAGTCTGTTGCCTCTCAGTTTACATGTTAATCTTCCTGCAGAGCTCAAACCTGAATAGAAGGGCCTACTTCCTAATCATGTAAAGTGATGTATATTGTTTCATCGCAATTCCTGGGTTGCATGTAAGCAAACACAAGCTGACTGTAAGCAGTGGAGCAAGACAATTATCAGGAAATAGCACAAAGGAACAGAAACCTCTTCACTTATCAGTTAACACTTTTGTGCACATTAATTACCAGAGTAGTTGACAAACAGTGGGTTAAGCTAGCTTTCCCTCACTTTATTTAATTCTTGATTTTATATTCTGATTTATGTGCCTAATGAAACGTTTGTTGAGTATTAGGAATTTTAAATCTCTTTATATGCTTGTTTATTCACTAGAACAATCCTCCACTGAAATCTCGCAGCTTCTCTCTTGCATCCCAAGGAAGTGGCAACTCTCCTGGTGTTCAGAGGAGACCCAGCCAAAATCCAGTTTCTTTTTTTAGTGTTGGACATCACAAGTTGCCAGCAGGAAAGAGAGTTCCTATTCTGCAGCCAGACCACCTAGTAGATGTTAGAGAGGTTTGTATGAATAAAAATTTAAATACATTATTTTGAGAATGAGAGAGAACCAACATATTATTGTCCTTACTACTTTGGTTGACACAGAAACCCTGATAATTTGTTGGATATAGTATTCCTAAATTGGCCTAAACTGCTAGTGTGTTGCTGTGTGAGTTTAAAGAGCTGCCGTGTTCCCACCCCAGAGCTGGCAGTATTTCAGTGGTGGTGGAAGTGATCAGAATGTATTTTCTATCTCACTTTAAATATGTAAAGTGCTTTGGCATTAAAGGTTCTTTATAAATGTCATATTTATTATTTAAATTGTTGGGTGGGAGGTGACTTCAGTGCGGTTACCTGTTATAACATCCTGACACTGAAGATTGAGTATCCCATATTCCTGTCCCTGCTAGTCCTAGCATTACAGCTCAAGAAGATGTCATCATAGAATATTAGAATATTAGGGTTGGAAGGGACTTCAGAAGATCATCTAGTCCAACCCCCTGCTCAAAGCAGGACCAATCCCCAGACAGATTTTTGCCCCAGATCCCTAAATGGCCCCCTCAAGGATTGAGCTCACAACCCTAGGTTTAGCAGGCCAATGCTCAAACCACTGAGCTATCCCTCCCCCCCAATCATATCAGTCATATCACATACTTCTTCCTTTCTCCCCCCTCTCAAGCCTTGGAAGAGTTGACTTCTTTAAGGGCTGAACATTTTTTCCATGAGCTTCATAGGATGGAGGAGGAATCAGTTTGGTTCATATCAGAGAATTTTGCTAATAATATACAAAAAATAATGTTACAAAGTTTTATGGCCAAAACCTCAGTGTGATTGAGAGGGGAAAGCAAAGAAAAGGATGAAACCCAGCAATATGATTCCACTATGTACAATACATG